CAGTTTATGTCATGTTTTTTTTTTTTTGATAACAAGTTTATGTCATGTTTTACATGTCCACACGTGTGCTGGTTTTTCTTTATTTGCAAGAAAACTATAAAAAGCTTGAAGAGGATAGGTTCACACATGCGCCGACAGACGGTCAATCCAGCTCCTCCTATTTCGATAATGGGAGCATGTTGGTTACAACTGTAGGTGGATTCAACAAGAAAGCAAGCGTGGTTGGGCTAGAAGGATATATGAGCCGGCTGAAGCATAGTAAGCGACCCTCTACCCTGGCTGACAGTGTTTCTGCAGGTAAACTCAAGGCATAATTAATTCTTTTGTGTTTTCAATCTCTATTCTATTAATATTAAGGATAAACATTTAACTTACTATTTTATAATAATGTATTTGCAGATGAGCTTAAAAGGATGAGGGTGTCCCAGTCCCAGCTTGAGGAGAAACTGCATGCAACGACAGAACAACTGACTCAGCAAGAAGACATTACGAAGCAAATGCAGGAACAACTCTGACTTTTAATGTAGAAGAAGAAAGAAACCTGCAAGAAGATGAAAGACGTCAGATGATGACCCTGATTATGATGATGACCTTGCTAGGAATTTAGAGGCATACTACTTGTTTTTGTATGTTTTATTTTGTTTAAGAGTTTAGAGACATTTCATTTGTATTTTTGAGGATTGCTGTTGTTCACTTTTGTTGATATACCCTTTGATTTTAATTTGGTTATTTATATAGTATATTTTATGATTTCTATTGCTCAATTTATATATTTTGTGTTCATTTGGAACCCTTGTTGTTTACAGGAAAATACTGGAAAATTAAAAAAAAGTTTAGTACATTTTTTAATTTTAATTTTTTTTAATTCCAGAATCTGCAACGAAAATTTCAACATTTCGTCGCAAAATTCGCAGCATATTGCGAGGCAATTTGTGAAATTCCCTCGCAAATGTTGCGATGAAAAATCAAAATATTCCCTCGCAACTTGTGCGACGAAACTTAATGCATTCCCTCGCAAATTTTGCAACGAAAATTTAACAGATTCTCTCGCAATTTCTGTTATGGAAATTTTACACATTCCCTCGCAAATTCTGTGACGAATTTATTTTGTATTCAGTCGCAAATTTTACGATGACAGTCAGATATTTTTTGGTCGCTAATTTGCGAGGGAAGTTACACCCACAATTTCTGTCGCAGTCTGTGATGGAAAAACACTGAAGTTGGATATGTTGTCTGCGACGAAAATTTAGTTTATTGTATGGTAAAATTTTCGTAGCAATTTGCGAGGGATTTTTCCTATGACAAATTTTCGTAGCAATTTGCGAGAGATTTTGCGTATGACAAATTTCCCTCGCAAAGAGGGTTTTAGCGATGCACCGTGTTCCCTCGAAAATTTTGTTACAGACCGTTTTTGCTATTTTACGATGAAATCTTTCCCTCACTGATTGTGCATTTTTTAGTAGGTAGTCGTGTTCTCCGACACCATCATGTCGAGGAACAAGAAGAGTTTTGGTGTGGCGACGTGTTCTTGAACATTAGAAACAAACTAATTTCACTTGCCAACAAAGAGAACTTTGGCAAAGCCTCCAAATGAACCTGGTAATTCCTCACAAAAAATCTTCAACTGGAGTATGGAGTATGACTATCAAAGACTCTTCTAGAAGAAGAAGAAAAAAAAACAGAAATCCCGAAAGTTTTTTCTAATAGAAAAAATGGGAAAAAGAAAGTTCCTAGACCAATTTTCTCTTACTTTATCCAAAGAAAAAAAAGTAAGGCTTTTTGTTCATCTCCCAAAAAGTTCTTCTAGACACTTTAGACCAACCCCATTTTCAAATCAAGCGCTCATCAACAATGCCAAGCAGATTCAGACATTCTTAAATATGAGTAAAGGTCACAACTTTTTATCCCAACATCTAGCACCCTCCACCTTAATTTTTTATTATAATTTTTGCCGACAAGAATGGGCAGAGTATGAATATTTTATTTTTATTGGGAAAGTAATAAGGTGAGCTTTTTCTCTTTCTCAAAGATTGTGCAGTTGTGGTGGATTTTAACTTAAGAAATTTATTTTTCTTTTCTCCTTTAGTTTTTTTTCTAGCATAATCGATTAAGTTGAATATTGTAATCAGTTATTTTATCAAAATGGTATTTAATTGGTTACATGAATTATATAATCGATTATATTAATAAGTCAATGGTCAAACAAGGGCAGATTTGTGTATAATTTTGGGATTAGGGCAAACATGTAATTTTTTAATATGGGGAAAAATGATCAATCACACGTGAATAATATGCAAACTTATTTTTTAAATTTTATCTTGTTCTATTTTTAACTTTTTTTTTTAACATTATTAGAAAATGAGGCGATGAGATTCGAACACATGGCGATTGATCACAAGCTGATATCATGTAAAGTAATAAATTTAACCCAACAACTCAAATTAATAAGTAACGAGTCTAATTACCACATTAATAATTTTGTATTCATATCTCTAAGATATGTTTATAGGTTTTAAGTTTTTCCAAACAATCAAATATGCCATCTTAAGTATGCTTTAAAAAAAAGTAAGCTTGAGTTAGCAAGTTAATAATTCTTTGGGCACTAATACAAGAGTGCTTAATGTGAAATGGTGAACAAAAACTTTAGAAGTGGAGATATATCATTTCCAATAAGATATAATAGATTTCATCATAATTGGCGCAGCGTGGTGGTCACAATACATAGGAGAGAGAGCTCACAATACATAGGAGGGAGAGCACGAAGCCCAAACATATACCTACTTTTAAAGGGCCGAAAACGACCGATCCCCAACCTTGGGATACACCACCCCAAAAGCGAGCTCAAAGGGTGGGAGTGCCCAAGGCCTTATAAATTCCACATTAGTTGCACATCTAACCAATGTGGGACTATATATCTCAACACGCCTCCTCACGCAAGAGCCCTTTGGGCTAGAAGCGTGGAATTGTACAGACCCAATTTTTGGTTTACCTTTTTGTGCTTTTTTATTTTAATTCCACTTTAAAGTGGGGGACGGTGATGATTGAACTTGTGCTCTGATACCATGTTAATTCCACACTTCTAGCCCAAAGGGCTCTTGCGTGAGGGGGCGTGTTGAGATAAATAGTCCCACATTGATTATGTGGGCAACTAATGTGGCCTTTATAAGGCCTTGGGCACTCCTACCCCTTGAGCTAGCTTCTGGGGTGGTGTATCCCAAGGTTCTTTACATGGTATCAGAGCTTGAGGTTCGATCCTCACCGCCCCCCACTTTAAAGTGGAAGCACAAAAAGGTAAAACAAAGATTGGGCCTGTTGCATAATCCACGCTTCAAGCCAAGAGGGCTCTTGCGTGAGGGGGCGTGTTGAGATATATAGTTCCATATTGATTGAAGAGTAACTAATGTGGAGTTTATAAGGCCTTGGACATCTCCACCCTTTGAGCTAGCTTTTAGAGTGGTATATTCCAAGATTCTTTAACAGGAGGCATTAATTCGTTTTCAGAGGCAATCATTTCAACGCATTTTTCATCTTCACATGGCATGTTTCCAACAAGATAAAAATAAAACTAATGTTTTGTCTTTGGAAGAGACGATTGTAGTGACTGGACATTAATTATTTTGTCCTTTCCATTATGAATTAATTTTGTACTCTGATCGGTAACAAGACATCACCAAATGAGGTTCCATTGCTTTACATTTGTGTGATGAACACGATAAGTCCATAACTAAAACATCACCGAATGGAAGGATCCCACGCATCATTGAAGATATAATATGTCTCCTTAGTCCTTACTGATAGGAAAATAAATATCTAAAGACAAATAGAGGTTGGAATTAATTGTAACTCAAGTTCTAGTCTCAGTATTTGATTAGTTTAGCAATGTTTTCATACGCTTACATTTTTTGGATTCACCACTCTCTGGCCGTGGGGAAATAAATGATTGGATGGTGACTGTGTTGACAAGTGCTTTGTGGGGTTCATAAGGTTTTTAATTGCTTTTATCTTTAAGTACTTTGTCATGATGATCTTTCATTTCCAGATACCACATGGCGCAATTTAAAGTGTTAGGTTTAAACATATTTTCAATTGTGACTTGTACTTAATATGAAAATAACATTTACCAAAAAGAACAGAATATGTTATTTGGGTATTTAATTTGCATTTTAGTTTCACAGTTTGAATGATTCGGTATAAATAATAAAAGAAAAATAAAATTACCAAGTCATCTGAAGAAAACTTCATGCATATATATGGGTAATGGGTGTACAAAAGTCAATTGATTTTATTTGTTTTCCTTGTGATTTAATTATGCCGAGCAAATGATGCTAAATACAATGTGAGGTTGTAAGGAGCTTTCGATCATTATTTAAACTCAAAATAGATTAGTGGATCAACATGCTAGAATAAAAAATATAACATAAATAAAGTTATAGTATTGTTCTTTGTTAAAGTAATTATAGTATTTCTTTATGAGCTTTTATCTTTGATGTAAGATTTTGTTTGTATATGTATATTTTCTTACATTTTGCTCCACCAAGCAAGTTGAATAATGTGTTCATACTTCGTATCTAGTGATAGTGGTTACAAAAAATGAAATTCTACTACGCGCTTTTGTGAGTTTTCCTATATATGCATGCAAATTTTATTTAGAAAAATAGAATATACATTTTAATTGAAAGTACAAATGAGTCCAAATCACTTCATATGTAATTATGTTCCCGTCAAAGTTATATTATACTCTCTCTCTTTTTTGGTACAAGATATTATACTCCTTTTATTTCACTGCTGAATAAGCTCAACTCTCTAATTGAAAGTAATAAATTATAATAATTTGATTGGCGTTAAAAAATTGAGCAGTCGCAGATAAAAAAGAAAAATATTCAAATTAAAAATAATAACAAAATGATAAACTGATTAAAATATTAAAAAAAAAAAAAACTCTCGAAGCGAAAGTAGAATTCAAAGCTCAAATTTCATGATTGAACATATAGATAAGGAGAAACACTTGTCTAATTATGATTGGGAGAGGACAACTTTTCTCCCCTGCTGTGTGGTCCTGATTCCGTAATCTATAATCAAATTGATGTGACTGACTCGTTGGGTGGAATAAATCTTTGGTATTACTGCTGTATTTACTTAGATTCAGTGCATTCCACAGAAAAATTTTGACAGAAAAAAAAAAAATTTAGTTGACATATAATATTTTCATTAACGAAATGTACTGAATCTTTAATACTACAATAATACCAAAGATTTATTCGCGTGTCATTATTAGCTTTGCTCATTTTTTCGGGGGTTTGTCATTAACAATATGTATATTTCTACAAGAGAAACCTTGAAAGCCCCACTTTATCCCCAGTTTCCTTAACATCTTTCAGTGTCTGCTCTCTGTACTCTCGAAAAGTAAATTTCCTGTACACTGGCGGCGTGACATAGCTCTGTATCACTGCATCAATGGAGGGCTTATAGAAATATGCCACAGAGAATCTCTCCACCTTCTCAGCAGCCACCACTCGGTGTTTTACGCTTTTGTAAATGCCATTGCTCAGTGCCTGCATAAAATGATAGCCACTAATAAAATATAATTCAAATTACCTATGCGTCTAGGATCTAAGCAAATTAGTCATGCAATTTCTCAATTTTGTTGAGGCAGTTAGCACTAGATTACTTAGATTCTAGCGAGTGAGTTCATGTCATAAACATCAAGATTATGATATGCAAGAATTATTAGGAGTTCATTATTATTAAATAAATTATTCTTCTACATTTTTTTTTTGTCCTACACCACTTCTCTTGCTTATAGATTGGTACGTACATGCATATATAGGATCGACATTTATGGTTTATATTTTCTGTACGAATTGAACCTATCCCTGTGAAGGAATTAGTGATGTAAATTTTGCGTCACATTGATGTGCAAATATAAGGGTTTTCCGACATTATAATAGACCGATATTTTGCACACTAATAATTTTTATATCATTTCAAGTCTGATACAATTCCTTTATATATAAGAATTCACTGTGTGTGTTGGCCCAGTTAAACCCTGAGCTTAATCTCTTACACTGTAAAGTTGTGTGAAAGGTGATAAAAGAAAAAGTAAAAAGAAGAATTATTTTCATACTATTATATATAGATATACTTATATATATGCCTTGGGAAATAATAGTCCTTTTGAAAATATACTTTGCCCGTACACCATTACGTTACTATCTCCAACATACAAGTTATTTTAAGGGCATAACAAAATATCAACACAAATATTATAAGGATAGCCTGGTTGGCCATAATTGATTAAGGATCATATTTGCAATATGAAAACTTAAGCTGTTAAGTAAAGGTTCATCAATGGTTTATATATTTTTCTAATACGCCCCACACGAAAGCGTACTGAGCATAAAAGGTGGATAATGCATAAGGCCCAGCCTATCTGTATTAAGAAATTTCACAAGAGAAAATTGGGGGTGAGAATCGAACCCGTGACACCGAGACTCTGATATCATATAAATAACTAATTCTACCCAAAAACTTAAGTTGTTAAGTGAAGGCCCATCAATGATTTATATATTTCTCTAACAATATTCATATCCTATAAGAATGTGAGTTCGAACACCATTGACTGATGTAAGAATTTCGTTGATGGTATAATCCGTAATCTCTCTTATAGATCCTTAAAGAGGTTATGAGTTTGTCGTGACCCATTTCGACATATAACCCCACTTAAACTTTTATGCTAAAAAAAAAAAAATATTATAAGAATATTGCATTGCAAGAGTGCTGATATCTTTACCTGGAATAAATCACCAATATTAACAATGAGAGCTTCTTGGTTAGGTTTGACATCAACCCAATTTCCATCCTTCATTAATTGCAAGCCCCCAATCTGGTACTGGTGTACTATAGTGAGGAAACTAGAGTCACTGTGAGGTACAAGACCGAACACCATTGAAGGGAATGGACATGGTGGATATCTGTTCAGCCGAAGTGAGCAAGTGTTTGCCGAACAGTGCTCTTGGAAATAGCTGAATTTGATGTTCAGTTTCTGAGCTAGAATTTGCACCAAGCTTTCTGCCAGTGGGGCAACTACTGTTGCATAAACTTCAATGGTTGATCTAAATTTGGAAAAGCAATTGTTTGGTATTATAGGAAGTAAAGAACCGATTTGTTGTTATAAAAAAGAAAAAAGAAAAAAAAGAACCGATTTGTAAATTAAGAGAAACAGTAAAAGGAATTATATGGTCCTCAATTGTCGGAAAGAGGAATACTGTACACTGTCATCCACTGAAGAAAAAGTTTATGTATACAGAAACTTTAGGTCATCTTTGTTACCTTAAAAACATGCAAACACTACTATATAAAAAGGCGGCTATCATTTTCTTCAGAAAAAAAAAAAAAAAACTTTATTACTGTTATATATCTACAATAATTTATGAGAAAAACTATTTTCATGTTACATGAGGTAAGTTTTTCTTCCTATATAATTGTGCAACTTTTTTTTTTCTATTTTTTAGATGATGGGCCCCACAATTATGTGTCTATGATAAGATTTTTTCTCTCATGCAATATGAGACTACATAAGCCCACAATTTATTGTACGAGTCATGCATGATGTTAGATATCAGCAGAATGGAAATGAACAAAGAAAGCTCAGTGGATGAACCTTACATGTGTATGAATTGAGTCACAAATTCAATTCTATGCCTAAGGATGTGCTTGACAAATTTTTTCTCTATATTTATTCTTGAAAACAGAAATAATTAAAAACTGCGTTTGACAAAATTAATTTATTTTCTTTATTTTCAAAGAATCAGTAGCTAGGAATAAAAATTGAAATAAAAATAAACAATTTTTTTAACTATTTTTTCTCTCCCTAAAAACCGGACTAAAGAATAGAATTGTTGTCATGTATATAATTAACTAATAAAGTTGTGAACAAATTTTTACATTGAAGTAGAAGTAATTGAAGAATAAGGGTTTAAACTTTTAAATCAAATCTTATTTAATTTAGCCTAATAAGATGATCTCTTGCTGTTTGCAATTTTTGTTACATGTTGTGCCCCTAAAACTCACATGTAGCGGTTTCCCACCAAGAATTTGAAAAGAGATGACGATAACATTAATGGATATATAAAAAATAAAGAAGTACGCGGAATGATCCGTTTATAAATTTTTTTTGAAAATTTTTATAAATTACACTATATTTTCTCGGGAGAACATATTGTGATGAGTGTTCTCCCGAGAGAAGATAATGTAGTTTGTAAACAAAAAATTTTTGTAAATATAACTTGTCCCAAGAAGTATACCCAATTAATATAGCTCATATGGTAACACAAACTGAGTAGATTGAAAGAAAATTTGAATTCAATTCTCACGAAATATATCTTTGCAGAGAGACTGTAACTAAGCCTCGACTCAGAATTAATTTCATAGACAGCTCAAAAAATTAAGGTTGCCCCAAGAAGCCAACTCTCGTCAAAGTTATAGTTAGGGTTGCTGTTAGAAATATTAGATTTGTGTCTTTTTATTTTACAGTTGCTATATTAAAAAAATAAAAATAAATAAAGAGATGTATACCTCATACTTTTGTGCTGGTTCATCCTTGCTATATCTGGAAGAAGCATATGGAAGGCTTCTGACCATGAGAGTTGCTTCATATTAGTAGCAGATAGATTGCCCCAATTGTAACTTCTGGCGGTTAAGTTCAAAAAATTATCTTGGGACTTATTTGCAAAAGGCCTGTGGAACACTTCCATTAGCTCAAACTGCAGGCTCTTCAGCATCTCTTGTGAAACCCCATGATTCACGACCTGAAAAAAACCCCATTTTCTAGCTGCTTCACTGATTTCTTTCATGCACTCCTCCCTCTCAAGTTGGTCAAGATTTAACCGGCCGAGATCAATTAGAGGTAGCTCATACCTCTCCACCACAGAGGATGTGTCATTTCTTATGTCACTAATACCAACACCAATACCAAGCGAGCTTGCCAAGAGGGTCTTGTACGTCTCTAAAAAAGGAGGTTCATAATCCATTTGGAGCAATAGTGGGTTATCCAAGTACCTGAGGTTGTCTTTTCAACCCTGCAATATATATATATATATAGGAGTAAATATTTCCGTGACCACTTTAGATAATCTTATCTACAGCTACCTTTTATAACTATGTTCTCCCGGGAGAACATAGTTGTAACATTAAAAGTTGCTTTTTTTTTTCTCTCTCCTCATTTACTTTTCAGAATCTGTCTATTGACGTGGAGAGAACGAAAAAAACAACTTTAATGTTATAACTATGTTCTCCCAGAAGAACATAGTTATAAATGGCTAGTTGTAGATGAGCTTATCTAAAGTGGCTGTAGAAATATTGTTTCACACACACACACACACATATATATATATATATGAGAAGATTATATTTACAAATTTTTTGTTTACAAAGTCTTACAAACTACATTATGTTCTCCCGAGAGAGCATTATGTTACATTATGTTCTCTCGGGGTACATAGTGTAATTTGCAAAAATTTATAAAAAAAATTTGTAACGGATCTTTATATATATATATATATATGTGTGTGTATATATATACATATATATATATATATATATATATATATATATATATATATATTGTATCATTTTAAATGATATAAAAAAGTGTGTCATTTTAAATGATATAAAAAAAGTGTGTCATTTTATAGATATAAAGAGTTGAGATCTACATCTTTATTTTTTAGCAGGACCTACACTTTTTGATGTCTTTAAAATAATATAACTTGTGTTATTTAAAATGACACAAACTTTTCATACACACATACACATATATAGAGGAAGGTCATACTCACTACTTTTGTTTATAATCTTTTATAATCATATCTTAACCGTTGATTTTCGTTAATCAATGGTTATCATTTATTGCGAATTAATAATTAATTAATGAGTTTAATTGGCGAAAATAATAACCGTTGATTGACAGAAATTAACGGTTAAGATATGATTATAAATAAAATAGGTTATTAATATAACATTCCTTATATATATATTGCTTAGAAAAAAGTGTGAAATATAAGAACCCGCACCGTTAATTAAGGAAGTTAATTAATTAATTATGAGAAATTAGGAAATAATTCCATAATTCACCCTAATAATTATTATGAGGCTTAAATAATTATGGTAAGTGAGTAATAATGCTGAAGGTCGCTTTTCTGACGAAAAGTGCAGATACCGGTTCTTCTACTCGGTATAAATGCGTACCGGTGAAGTATCCCGGAAAATTATGAAAAGTGTGTATATGTAACTATAATAATATATAGGACTTGTAAAACGAGTTTCAAGTTAGAATAATGAGAACTGGTGCTAGAACTGATACTGGCTATGGAAAAGAGCCTATCGGAAAGGTGCTGCGAAAAAATAAAATAAAAATATGACAAATCTTAGAAAAATGGCTAGGTTCAGAATCCCAAGTTTGAGATTAAAAAGATAAGCGTAGCTATTAACGCTAATACTGCGCGATTAAACTTAAGCGCGCCTATAAATACCCAAGGGCACATGATCCTTGGTCAGCCTTTCATCTTCTACGTAGCATTTTCTGAACCTAGGGAGGCAGCCACCTTCTCCCACCTTCTCTCCTCCATTGAAGCTCCAAGAGAGCACCTTTCCACTTAGTTCCTTCACCAAAGTTGCTTATAAGAGTGTGCTCTAGCCTTGAGTGGGTGAAAGTCGAGCCATTTCTGAGTTGTGGGTGTTGTGTTGAGTGAGGGAGTTGCTGTCTTGGAGGTTGTGAGGTGTAGGAGCCATCTCTATGCCATTTTGAGCTTCATGGTGCCATTTTGATGAAGAAAGGTCCAACATTGTGATACATTTTCGTGGCTTTGTTGAACCTGAGTTTTGGGTCAGTTTGGAGAGCTCCAAGAGCCTACTTTTCTGCTGAGTTTGAAGCTCCATAGGTATACCTTGAACATTCTCTTTGAAATTCCATAAAAATAGCTTGTTTGTGTCATGAAATGAGATAACTTTAATCATTCAAGCTTAAAGTTGTTAATCTAGGTGTTCAATCATGCTCATGCCGTCCTTGTATTCCAGCTTCACAAGTCGACGAACCAAGTGTGCTTTATTCTTGGGAGTCTTCTTCTGAATCATAGACTCCAGTTTCGTCCACAACTCGTACGCGTTCGTGAACTCGGACACGTGCTCAAAGAGGCTTTTGTCAATGTATTTCCTTATTGTAGTTACCGCCTTACGACTCAGGATCTCTCACTCCTTATCTATTTTTCCTACCGGCCTCTCATCAAGGATAATGGGCTCATGTAAATCTTTACAGTAGAGATGATCTTCCATCATCGGTCTCAGATAGGTGAAATTGTCTGCGGTCAGCTTGAACATATCTCCATCATGAGTTATACCACTGGTCTCCATCTCGTCTCCCTCAGAACTCGTTGAACCCGGGCTCTGATACCACTGTTGGCAACTCGGTCCCCTCAACTCGGCTCAGAGGCCTCTTTGCGGAAGTCAATCAACAAGATCCTGGATCTCGGATCTCGGTAATCTTACCCTGGCCTGAACTTCACCAGGTCAGGCAGTGCAGCGGAAAAAAAAATATAAAGGGGAGAGAGAGAAAGAGAACACAAGCAGATTTTAACGTGGGAAAACATTCTCCAATGAAGAAGTAAAAACCCAAGGGACCTATTCCAGTTCAAACATCCACTATGAAAATAATGGGTACAAAGAATCAAGATTCACCAAAGTGGTAGTTAACATAACCTCTCCAACAATGGTGATAATCAAACTTCCCTAGAGGTGTTTCACTCAAACTCTCTCTAGAGTTCTCTCAAATACAAAGCTCAAAGTTTTGCTCACAAATCTCTCAAATAGTTTTCTCTCTTTTTTCTCTGACATAGCTTCCACCCACAACTAATGAATATATAGAGGAGATGAAATCTAGGGTTAGGGTTTTTAGGAAACCCCTAAATGGGCTTGGGCTTAGCATTAAAGGAAGAAGCCCAACAATTATAAGTTTAAGCTCAATGCCACCTTTGTATTAAAAGAGAAAATTATTTCAACGTATAATCTAATGGGCTTGTAATTTTATTTTATTTTATTTTTGTAACAATGGGCTTGTAATTAGCACGAGAGAACTTGCTAGAGTGAGCTAGAATAGTCTAAGGCTAATCAAAAGATGATTTTTTTTTTTTTTGAGAACGTCGGAGAAGATGATTAAGTTGCCTACAATAACATTTTTTTTAGTAGATAACCTGGAGGTATCTCCACACAACCTCTTTCAGTATATGAATACCAATTTCAACACGGTGTTTTCGATACGTTCCCGATACGGGACGTCGATACGATACAATGCGTTTACGATACGCGTATTAGATATGTTTGGGAAATTTTTTTCTAAGTATCGGTGTTTCATGGCTTCCAATCGCCTTGTTCTGGGAGTACGGTCCCTAAGACTAGCTTCTCGTTGAAACAGAGGATGCATTAGACATATAATGACACTTTTATGTCTAAGTGAACGATGAATCATAGTTATAAAAGTATGAGAGTAAAGAAAGAGAATATAATCACAACAACCACCTCGTACGTGGATTTATTAATAAGGGTTTCGAGTTGGAATCACGAATAAGTTATTATATTAAAAATTTATAAGAAATTCGTGTATATATATATATATATATATATAACAAGAAGAGATCTTTGTATTAGATACATCAAGAATAAATTTTCTCATATTAGGATATGTAAATTGATAATAATCGAGACCAATACGCACATCTTTTATGACGTAACAAAATGTCACTTATTGAACCCAATTAAAGGATTTTAGGCGTGCCAAAGAGAAAATAGTTTTTCAAGTGTGATATTTTGACAATTTTTTTTTTTTTTTACCAAAAGGTAACATTTTGGTTATTGTCCCTATTAAATACTACATCCCCTCCTCAATGACGAGCTTGTCGATGATTGAATATTCCTATTAGCCTACTGAGGCACCACGTGTAGAGAAAAAAATCCCTTGAAATCAAGGAGTGCTTTTGTGTGCATGGTATCACGATCCATGCTGGGTACCCCTTGGGACTTGGTGGTGGACTTTCAAGCAGATGTGTGGACCCAAATGGATAAGGGTCCGGACATCAGATGGATCGGATAAGGCCTAATATATTGCAAATTGATATCAAATGTTAGTCCGATACATATGGAAGATGCGGGGACAGATTTCTTAACAAGAAGACAGTCAGGTTTAATAGACACTAACCTCATAGAAAATCAATGTAATTATCCCTATTAAAAAAATAAATTACTCAATTGATGTAACTCAGTTGGTAATACAGGCTGAATATAGTGGAAAAAGAACCTGAATTTTGATGATTTTCACACTAAAAAGTAGGGAATTTGTTAAGCTTTTTCTAAAAAAAATTGTATCTTAAAAAGTCTGTTTAATTTAAGGAGAGAATTTCTCTATCTTCCTTCCCTAACTTTTGAAACTTTAAAATAATGTAACCCAATATATGAGCAAAATTCACCCCATTCTCTCGTTACAAGAAAATTAAGATTTTATCTTTGATATTCGATTTTCACAATTTCATGATAATTTTATTACATTCGCTCTTTCACAGTTCATCTAGTATTAAATTGAGCAATAAGTTTCAAAAACTCAAGAAATTATTAAATGATTTGGTCTTACTTATTTCTTATCATCAAAATTAAACAAGATGTATGGAATCTAATTAACAGTCAAGTGATGGTATAAATAAGAGATCAATGTATATACCCATGAGGGCTTATACCTCGATATTTATAGAGTTAGGAATGAGTTGTTTTGGTAGAGAGCCTAGCTAAAGTAATGTGGCATTGCATGTCGCATATCAATTAATCAGAACCTAAACTTATCACTTCATTTATGGGTACTGGTAATCATGTCAAAGTCTAAATCTCGAGTTTAATTGAGGATTTAAACCCCCTTACCAAAAAATAAAAATAATAATAATAAAGATGAAAGTGGCTTTGTGATGGGAACTGCTGAACTAAAAAACCACTGATAGT